ATTTTAGATGTGCGGGTGGGGAAATAGATAAAAGCTCCGAATGAGAAACTGGAGAGCCGAGCTAGAATTTCAGTCGGGTTTATTACATTCACGTAAAGTAGTGAAAGTTACGAATCCATTTCTTCTCTCACTAGCTGTGGGCTAAATAACAAGGGAGCGGTCGTTGGAAACCAGTCTTGGGAAAAGAAAATTCTGAATTCAAAACGGTAACAAATGGCTATGTTCTCCGACTCTCAGCAATGAAGAAGAGAAGAGGCAAATAAAATTCAAAACAGACATGTTCTTCCAAATTGGAAGATTGGCATAACACAATCTTTGATCGAAATTGTTTTTGTGCCGTACTAAGCTTAGTAAATATAAACATTTGCTTTCTGGTTAACTCCCCCCCCTTGCCATATTCTTTGTTCTTGCCATGTTTTTAAACGTGCCAGCTCAGATGAAAAATGGAGTATTGCTTATACAGGGTGTCCATAAAGTTCGTGTGCACTTTAAAAAATTTATAACTCTCTCTCCTATATATATATATATATATATATATATATATATATATATATATATATATATATCAGACTAATAGTGAGTAAACAAATGACAAAACTGTAAACTGGGTTTCCAAGGAAAGTTGTCAACAAATTTACGGTTTTATTGTTGAAATCAGTGGGCGTTATGGTCAAATGGTATAGACGCTAGATTTCTGACTATAAGACGCGAGATTAGTCAATGGACAGACTTCTTGATCATATAGTCTTAGGGATTTGATCCCAGTGAGCAGTAACGTTGGGAAGTGTCTGAAAAATATTGCACGGATTGACCCTAACCTTGTGAGAAAAATTGGGTTGACAATTACATTCAGAAGCCGTCGATGGTTGTGCTAGTAACAAGTGTTAACCTAATGCGCAGACAGAAGATCTTTAGTCTTTGTTGGTAATCTATCTAGAGGTAGTTTCTTGATAAATAAATAAAAAAAAACAATCATCGCGCAGTAGTCTGGCCAATCTCGGGGGTATATCGCCTTAAGAAAAAAATAATAATAATGATTGGAATTCTTTAAAAAAAAAAAGGAAGAAATATATAAAGTGAGTTCGTAATCTGCCGGAAGCGGAAATAGCCCAACATGATGATAAAATCGATCCTATATACAATAAGAGAAAATACAATAAACGAAAGTTACATTGATTTTTCTATATACATGATATTAGGCTGTTCGGAAAATAATGTCTGAATTTAGAATAGACTGATTTAATTGTGTTCTAATATATGATTCTAATAGTTGCGTCAAAAAAGTATTTCTCATTCCTGATGAGTAAACTGTCCTTTTCTTAATTTTATATTAATCTCTTCCAGAATTTAACTTAAAATATTATATAGTCCTCATTTTGAACATGGAAAAAGAAGAGGAGAAGCGTTTACTTTTATTTTGCATGAGTTCAAGTTTGGTTATAACGTTTCTCAAACTTCTGCTAACATTAACAGTGCATGGGATGAAGGATCAACTCGTGATCGGACAGTACGGCGCTGGTTTCTGAAGTTCCACAGTGGGGATACGAGTCTTGAATATCAAGGTGATAGACAACGTCCATCTGCAATTGTCAATCTACATCTGAAAACACCAAAACCCAAGACAAAGTGTCAGAAAAATGACTCGGATAACGAGTGTCAGCAATTCAAGAATATCGGTCAATATAAAAAGAAAATTAGCAAGGTGAAGGAACTCGGTAAATGAACTCAATTAAAGTGAAAGAATTCGCCGTTTTCAAGTGTGTTCGATGCTGCATCTGCGAAATTCGAATGATCCATTTCTTGATCAATAGTGACTTATGATGAGAAATGGATCCTTCATAACAATCGTAATCAATCGGCTCAAAGGCTTGAACTCAAAGATTTTTCAATACCGAAACTGCACCAACAGAAGATTATGGTGACTTTCTGGTGGTTCGCTATTGGCGTTATCCATTACAGGTTTCTGGAAATTAGCCAGGGCATCACTGACGAGGTTTACTGCTAGAAATTAGATTCAAATACACAAGCAAAATGCGACTAGCACTGGTTAATCGACCCGGCTCAATTCTTCTCTATGACAATGCTCGGACACATCTTACCAGAATCTCACCTTATTGGGATACAACGCGTTGATACATTCACCATAATCATCCGCTGTTTCACCCACTAATTATTACTTTTTCATGCAACAAATTCTTTAAAGCCAAACGAGATTCCGTTGCAAAGAAGATGCAGAAATTGCATTCAAGCGTTTCTTGGCTTCCAAAACTTTAGTTTTATCGTAAATTGTAACTCAATATAGATGTTCATCGTTCCTATTTTAACTGATTTAAATACTATTTAAATATATTAATTCAGGAATAAAATTTCATTCTAAAATGGGACATTATTTTCGGAACAACGTAATAATTATAATGGGATTCTCTATATGTGAGCCTAAGTTTGTTGATTGGTTGATTTTGTATGTCATCTTTTGTTGGGTTATTAAATGTCAGTCATATTTTTTTTTTAATTTATTTTTATCTTTTAGTACTAAATTTAAGTCTTATTATACAAATTAGCATGAAGAACATTAACATAATTATCTTTATATCTATCTAATACTAAGTAAAATATTCTAATCGGATCCTCATATTCTGGAGTACAGACCCACATATTTATGAGGGTTAGTAGGTCATCGACATCGACATTTTCAAATACTGTTTGAGGTATAAAACCATTCTCTAGAGCGAGATCCCCACACCGGATGAGGATGTACTTCAGTGTATATAGTGCTTGATATGCTGCACATTAGTTGACTATAAAAGTGTGCGTGATTTGTATATGGCCGATGCGTAGTCAGGGATTTCGTAGAAGGGGTTCCATCACTACAAAAATTGTCTCAATGTTGTTACTATAACACTGTTACCATATTTTATTTTATATTATTTTTGGGTGTGGTGAGACTTTGTTTTTTTTTGGTCTTCAGTTTGGAATCATTCATGCTCGTTACTGGATATATACATTATATACAATATATATATATATATATATATAATCGTGAAATGTATATATATATATATATATATATATATATATATAACGTCATCCACAGACAGACTGTTTCGCTGTTTCACAGCTCATCAGTGTGGCTAGACATCCGGTTGCATCTAGCTAGGATCGAAACCCGACTGAATTGGTGTCAGTCGGAGATTCTAACCATTAAGCCGTCGGCGCACGGTAGGGATGAAAGTGGATTTTTTTAGCGTATTTATTTTTAGAAACACGCCCAGTGACTCAATTCGCATCTGCGAAGAGTCTCGCTATATAGCTATAATAGTCACTGTTTACCATCCCACACAGACACAGACACAGATATATATATATATATATATATATATATATATATATATATATATATATATATATATATATATATATATATATATATATGCACCACGTCAGTCAATTGTTTGCCATGCGTGATGTAAGCGTAGGTGATTATGTAACTTTCAATACATAATTGACAAGTCAGATTTTTTACCGCGGTAGGTTGCCATTTCTTTCTGCGGTAGACCAGTTGTCATGGAAGCCCATAGAACACAGTCTGTCCTGCTATTTAACCATTGCTGGATGGAGAAGAAGAGGATTCATACTTTTCCATTACATTCATTTACGGGCTAATAGCCCGTAAATGAATGTAATGGATTCAACTGGAATTCGAACTCGGCTGTGTGTGATGCACCACGTGGTTGTGTGTAATTCAGAACTCGGTTTTCCCGGAGAAAGTTAGTGCATGCATTCTGAAGAGTCAGTGTATGTCCATATATCCTTGTATGTAAGTGTGTGTACTTGTACAGGTTATTCTCTTTGTTTTTATTTTTACATCGTTAGAGAGCGAGTGTGATTCTCTTCACTTGTGAGTGGTCAGAGAGACTAGTTCACTAATTAATTTTTGGTTTTATATGTGATTGGAGGATTAATGAAATTATATATGTATACACGTGGAACAATCCGTTGCGGGATAGTTGGATGAGCTGAGCAGATTTTTATCACTGTATAATGTGTTCAATAATAATAATAATAATAATAATAATAATAAAGCCGACATATCAAAGATATTTAAGCAGAAGTTTTGGACGCTTCACAATAGGTGAAATAGATAGAGACATCGAGTAGACTGTTTTTATTACGTAGCTATTTTAATAGGGGTCAGCAAGAAAAGTGGATTCGTAAAGCCAAGTTCAAATTCTTGTCTAGTCTGTAATTGTAAAAGACATGATTCCACATCGTCTATCCCTAGCTATAGGAAAAACTTGACCGGTAACTACCTTCAGAAAACATTGAATTCAAAATACGAGAGAAAGCAACGGGAAGCTACTCCACTACCTTTCTCGAGAATTCATGGCGGTTCCCGGTTAATTAAGAAAAGGAATCTATGGAGAATCATGACCGCTTACATCTTGTCAGGACATATTTAAAAAAGAATTTCGATCTAGTACACCATTATATGACTTTATGTCAGACTATGTATGTCCATGAGTCTATGCGGATGCGTCTATTTTCCGTATACATGTGCATGTAGTTGGGTGTACCTATTCTAGCGAGTCTGTGTGTCGCAATTTTAGATTCAACTCAGAAAGAAAAAGATGACTATTGAAAGGAAGTGAGAAGGTGGTAAGAAGAACACACGGAAAGAGGTTCGCAGCGTAGGAATTGCTCTCCACTGCGGGAGATAGATTATTGATTGAATGGGGAAATGAACTTCCGGCAGTTTCTATTTCGACGCTGAGATGTGCAAGTTGGGGCCACTTCTGAGTGTCACATATTGGGATGTATGCACTGGAATAGAAACTGCAGACGGCAAATGAAGTAAACAGCCCAGGCACACTTGCGAAGATGAGGTGATTAAAGCATGCTACTAGATTATTCGATGACTGTAGTGAACACAAGTCAGAGAACGCACACCACAAAAATAAAAAGTGAAATTGTGAACGAATAAATTTCGATTTGATCATAAGTTTATCCGTCCTTTTATCACTAATTTCATTTTGGTCTCATCTATCTATCTATCTATCTATCTATCTATCTATCTATCTATCTATCTATCTATCTATCCCAGTCTGTTTCTATCTATCCACACACACACACACACACATATATATATATATGTATATTGCGTGAGTATGTTTTCATTAAGACATGCCTCATTAAATCAATTTTGTCTACTTATTTTTAATAATTCACGAGTGGAGCCTATTAAAAACAAGTAGAAAAAACTAGGCTAAATTATTTAATGTGATTTATCTTATATATATATATATATATATATATATATATATATGTGTGTGTGTGTGTTTGTGCTTTTGTATAATCTAATCAAATATAAGATTTTTGGAAGTCCTTTTTGGTTGGGCTGATAACTTTTCAGGACCTCTTGTATCAGTCTCAGAAAGTGAGATACTTTTTACTAATAGAGTGTGGTGTCATTTACGAACAGTCTTTCTGAAGTAATTCGAACTACAAACAGCGTGTAGACTACGCATGCGTATAAGTTGAGGGAGCGTCCTTAATGCCGGTCCCGTTTCCATATTTGTTTTGTGTCGTATGGTGGGGACAGCTTGCATACTTTCGTTTTAGATTGAGAATAATAATATTTTTTATAATATATTTTACTAAAAATATAACCACGCATTGACAAAAGCGATTGAGAACATCAGTTACATTGGAAATTAAGAAGTAAATCATTTCTAAACATGAAAGTGAAACAAGAATTAGCAAACTTAGAGTGAAGTGGGCAATGACGACATTAATAATTTGCACCATATTAAAAAACAAGGATGAATCAAAGACGTATTCAGGTTGTTAAGAAATAACCAAATTTAGTAGATCACGTAGCATTTTTATTGATGAGTTAGAAAAATTTATTTTTGATGTGGATTAAAATAAAAAGAAGTTACTGGTGATAGCATAAGCGAAACAATAATTTATGCAAAAGGTAAATGATCTTAAAGCTAATATTCCCACATGAAGTGGATAATGGAGAAACGAATTTTCTTGATTCAATTTATTTCTATATTTATTCATTTTTTTATTTATGTATATATATATATATATATATATATATATATATATATATATATATATATATATATATATATATATATATATATATATATATATATATATATATATATATTGATTATTGAATAATATAGACATATTGTGTCTACTTATTTTTATACTGATGCTTTCCAGTTCTCTAATTAGTTTCTTGGTGTTGAGATTAGATTCATCAAGGAAGGCGCCGTAGTTTTTAACCAAAGTTCTTTCGACCTTTTCTAAGTTCGTCTTTGGTAGGGGTTGGAACGGATTTCTATTATTTATCCACTTCCTGTTCCTCCTCATTATCATTAGTCCCATGATCAGGTGTGGTCGTAAGTTCGCTATGCAGCGGGGCACCTAATCACTTCCCTCCACATATCTGGATTAAAAGCCGTCGAGGTATTTATTCATGCTTTGGGTAAATAGACCTGGAAGAGTATATACTTCTCTAAGTCAACGCATACCCTACGTCCTCCAATTTGGAGGCTTTCCCTGTTCAGGGACACATGGTCGTTGTTTCCATCGGGCGGGGGCGTTGATTCCATCGGGTGGAGGACAGCCTCCACCTTTTCCGTTGACTTCATTCTAGGAAGCCCTCTACCCAGTGATCATGTGTCATCCCCGCCCTAGTTGCATACATAGATATAGAACCCTCTTTGTCCCCTTGTGCATGATGGTCGTTGGCCATACATCACCCGTTTGACAGGTCTTGTTTTTAATTTTGCTGGGTATCTAACAACTCTCCTCACCAGAAAAAGCCTGATGTGTCAACCAGTTTAGTCGATGATGATCCGAATATGCAGCGTGTATTACTGGGTTACATAGCACCACTGGCACTTGAGTGACCTGGCATAAATCCTTATTTATATGTATTTCAGTTACTCACGTAATAAATAATTTGGTTATGGGACTGGACTCCGGAATAGGTTACATTCGTATATAGAAACTCTACTTTATTTTGAACATATTTTATATGACTTTAAACTAGTGAAAACTGTTTCCGATACACGAACAGAAATTGCCTCTTCTTTTTCAAGCAATGAAAAGCGATACTAAGCCTGAATACATGCATTGCTGTCGAGAGCATAACATTTTCACAGTTGGTTCAGTCAGCTTGACATTTTATGAACAATGGAATGTACGCCATACGTTTTAAAAGTATTATATTAATATTAAATCAGTTGTCATTGTTCGATGATATATAAATTCGCTCTTGAATATAGTGATAATTTCTTTCACTGTATTTCTTAGAGATGGTCTATCTACATGGCAGATAATTGAAAAAGGTTAAAAATATCATTCGGTTAAATATATGTAAAGTGTAAAAGAAAACTTTTTCGCATATATAAATATCTAAAAGTCTTTATGAAATTATAAGCTGTCATTGCTAACAAAACTAGTATAATAGTGTGGACTTTTTTTTATTGTAGTTGCGTGTTCATAGCATGTCTTTGTTTACCAGTTTGTATTGTGTAATGGCAAAGGTTTAAGAATTATGACAGAAATTACATAAGAACCTTCAACCACTTTCAAAAGAAATGAATAGGTACTCCCATATATATATATATATATATATATATATATATATATATATATATATATATATATATATATATATATATATATATATATATATTATTTTTATATTTATACGTTATTTTTATAGATACAGATATTTAAGTAAATGTTCTGTTTGTAAACCGGCCTGAATGTCCGAAAAATATTTTATAGAAAATATGCGTCCTCCGACAGGAATCGAACCTGTATCCTATACGGAACCGTCATAAAGCCTGGCGTGCTTTTACCGATTGAGTCACAGAGGAGCGTTTCGGTTAGCAATTTCGATTTTACTGTTTTTAAACTACAATTCTCCATGATTTTCTCTCATACATTCATATCTGCTCGATGCGTATCCAAATGTAAACAAATGACGTCAAACATTATGAAATGGACAAAGTCCGACAATTATGTTAAGACATTTTTATATATATATTTATATATATATATATATATATATATATATATATATATATATATTAAGCCAATCACCCCAAGCAAGGCGGGTGTGCCACTAGCACGCAAGGGGTTCAGAGAGTGAGAGTAAGAATAAAGAGGAGTGTTTGGGAAAAGGATAAAGAGAAGGACGGGGATCAAGGTCAAGGCATCAGAAGATGTCAATTGACATTACATTTGAATATTTGAAGATTATCAGGGAAGCAAGTAATAGGAAGGGACTTCCACTGACGGGAGGTGCGAGATAAGAAACTGTTGGAGTAGAAGAGGTGGTTACATTTAGTCGTTTCAATAGTGAAAGAGTGGGACCACGTGGTTGTGCATAATTAAGAACTCGTTTTAACCGGGAAAAGAAATCTTCCCCGGGTGTAACTGCTGGACACATCTACTAACCGCATAAAAAAAAATGCAATGATTATTTATATTCCTTTCTTTTATCGTCCTGAATAGAACGCCACCTAGTGGCTTTAAGTGAAGTTCATTAAGAGACAAGGTGGGTGAAGTGTATTTCTTATTATTATCTGAAGATTGATTTTATATCTGAATATGCAAATAACCTTCTTTTATACACCATAGTTGCGTAAGGGAGATAACTATGCTTGGTACGACATAAGACACATGCAGGAAGATATAATAAACAAAACCAAATTTATTTGATGGCGATTGTTTTAGGTAATATTTGCCCAAAAACACACACATACACTGGCAGAAAACTAGCATGATAAAGATTTATGAGACTATTCTTTGCATATTTATTCGAAATTTTAAAAGTAAAGCCGAGAAGAATTTGATAACACATTCACGTTTAAAAATGAAAATATTTCGAAATAGATATTCTGTATATTTTTAGATTTCTATTTCCTGCTGTAAATAACATGTTCTGGAAAGAAAAACCTAAAGAAATTTACTGTGATATGTCGATGGTATCAGAGAGACCCCCGTTGAGAAAACCCAAGTGTCTAGCTAGCTTTGAGAGAGAAATAAATACTTACCGTTTAAGAATTGTCGGATGGTGCCAATAAATCTAGTTAGAGATTTCGAAAGAACTTCAGCTCGCATAAAGAGAAATCACCATAAATGAAATTTCTTGGATGCTATGGACGTCTATTAGAACTCAAGTTTACCCAAATCTCAAGTGGAATTCGTATATACGATTCATCGTTAAAGATGTTGGAAAAATTGTCGTTTCTTTGTACCGCCCTAGAAGTTACCTGATTTCTCTTGTCATGCTCTGACTTTACAAGAGTCACATCAGGACAACAATGGAACATTGCTGCGATATCTTGGGTAGAGCTGCCATATACTTAATTTCCCGCCATGACAGAGTTCAAAAACATTTACACAGCCTTGCGGGTGAGGAATTATTTTTAACCTTACAGCCCTTTTCCCATCTCCTACTCTATCACTACTTCAATGGCAAATGTTCAGATGATCTACTTTCCTAAATTCTACCAGTTCAGATCGTTAGAGCTTAGAATCGCTATGCCACGTATGCATGTTCGAATCATCCTCATTCCTTTAGTATTCTATAGGTAAGAATGAAGTCCACTCAGACTGCATCTTTTCAAGAAACGCCACTAATAAATTACATTAACCAGACAACCGAGAGGAGGCTTGTCTGATCACTGTAATCTTCAAGTCTAGGGTCAACCGTTTTCTATTTTATATATCTTCATAATCTGCGCTTACTTTCACTTCACATGCCATACTCCTCTAGCTTGAGTAGCTCTTGGATTTAGTTAATGGGTGATCATTTTGCAAAAAAAAAAAAAAGAAAAAAGGAAAACATCCACATTCAGACATCAAGACCCGATTTAAGATATGTAGCGGGAATTAAATGCAGATGGAGCAGCCAACCCCTGCTGATAACGGTACCCTCTCCAGTGGGTCAAAGAGACGGCGTTTAGTGTGCTGTCTCTGCAGAAAGATAGAAAATTGCTGCCCTGCCAAAACAGAGCCAGTGAGTACCCCGGAACGTCCTGTTATGAAGAAAGTGTCGACCA